TTTGATGATATTGTACATGGAGTTTTCTTAATTTATGGATTGCTTACAAACAATATTTAAAGAAATACAACTGACTTCTGCGTGCCAATCTTGTATCCTGTAAATTTGCCTAATTCTATTAGCTCTAAGTGGTTTTTATGAATTATGTAGGATTTTCCATATACAAGATGTCACTTATTAATAGTCTTCTTCCTTTCCAATTTGACTATTTAAAAACTAGAAAGTTTTTGATTCTTGCAAATTGGTTGGCAACTCATGGTGCTACATTACCTTGTACTTTTTCTTGCTGGTTTTAAAATGTGACCTATTACGGAATTCCTACAGTGTTTGCTTCTGCCAGTAGCTGGCTGTTCTTCTAATTTGGAATCACTCTAAAACTTAAATCCTCTGCTTGAATTTTCTGGAACCACCTAAGGCTGCAAATCTTTACAAAGCCCAAACTGTTATTACAAATTCTCGCAATATTCTCCTGCCACAGAGCACCAACTTTCAAGATAGGTAGAGTCCTAGTTGTACTAGCAATGGGTTTCTCCTATTTGACACCACTTTTGGGTGCATTCTGGGCTTTGCCAGTCATGAAAATTAAAGGTCAGCTGGGCACGGTGGTTCACACCTGTAACCCCAGCACTTTGAGAGGCCGCAGCAAATGGACTGCTTAAGCCCAGGAGTTCAAGACCAGCCTGGGCAACATGGTGAGTAGCCCCAACTACTCAGGAGGCTGAGGAGAGAGGATCGCTTGAGTCCAGGAGGTCGAGGGGTGTGCCACTGCACTCCAGCCTGGGTGACAGGCCAAGACCCTGTCTCGAAGAAAAAAAAAAAAAGTGAAAAAAGAAAATGCAAGCTGGTTCTGGGTATGTTCTGTTTTCCTCTGGGTTCTTGGTTTCAGTTTGGTTCTGGTCTGAGAGTACGCCTTCCTTTCTTGATAGAACACTGACACACTAGGAAAAAAAAAAAAAGGTTTTCCCCTAGCAACTGGTTGATTTTTCACAGGATTGATCAGGGTAATCATCCAGGCTGACAGAATCTGAATTGCATTATTTTACTTACAATAGAGAATAAAGGAGGTCTGATTAATAACTTTTTCATAGTATATTAGTTTTCTTTGTTCGTTTGGAGTTAGAAATGAAGCAAGCAGATTAAACATTTTCCCCAAGAATACAAATGGCAAGTATGTGTACCTTTGACAGACTACCATTTGGCTCAGTCATTTGTGTGTTAAATATCTGACCACCTAAAATATGCCAAGTAGTCATCTAGTAATTGATGACAGAAAAATGTGTCCTCATAGAACTGGGGTGGGGCTGAAGGCGAGACAATTATTACCTGTAAGACAGATAATACTGAATATGTCATGATGTACTCTATAGAGGTGATGCTGCGTTGGCGTTATTATATAGAATCGTCAAGAACTACTACTCTGATAAGGTATTTGAAGAGACCTAGTTAGGGAAAAGGAAGCTGTATGGTATGTGGGGTAAGATCATCCTAGGCAAAGGTAAGAGGAAGAGTAAACATCTTCACACATATTTGCAAGTCTCAGCAGGCCCACGTAACTGAGCTGAGGGAGCTGGAATGGTGGTAAGGGAAGCAAGGAATTGGGGATTAAGCTGAGGCAAGAGTGAGCAAGAAAGTTATCTACAGCCTTGTACATTACTTTTAATACTTTGTGTTTTTACTCCAAATGAGATGGGAAACCATTAGGTTTGGAGAAAAGCCATGACATCTGATATGGTTTAAAGGGGTTCAGTGTGGGGGACAGATTGCTGCAAGGCGGGAGATCACTCAGGAGGCTATTGCAATAATCCAAGTAAGAAATGATACAGCTTTAGATCATGGTGCTAACAGTGAGCATGGTAAATGGGCAGATTCTAAAGGCTGCTGCTAAGTCTGATTGAAGGTGGAATGTGAGAAGTCAAAGTTGGTGCCTAGGTGTTGGTGCCTAGGTTTTAGGCCAGTGCAATTCAATGTTGATATTTACTGAGCATGGGGTAAATATGTGTATGTGTATGTCTTTGTAGACATATGGCTAGTTTTAGACATTTTAAAAGATGCCCTTTAGACTGTCATGTGGATAATCAATAGAAGTTATATGGGAGCTCAGGAGAAATTGCTGGAAGGTTAGTAAATGACAGTGGTTAACTGGGCTCCTAAGCCAGTATGGCATGAAAGTTCATTGTTCAGCCTTGACTACAAACTTGACATGGTAAATGAGAAATCAAGTTCTACAGAGGATCAGACAGTAGTACGCAAAAATGTAAATTTCATAAAAACATTTTTTACAATACAGAAAAGAGGGCTCTTAAAAAATCTCATTTATAAATAGTATACAGTTTGGGAAGAGCTAGATATAGACAGTGGGATTTTAACTGAAGCATCCCAAGTAAAAGAACAATTGTCAGAAACATCTTGTATACCTGAATCATATTAAATTTTTCAAACCTGAGGCCAGAAATGAGCAAATAGTTATAAGGTAGCACGAAATAATGCAACAGAGTAATAATTTCTAGGGACTTAAGACATTCAGCCAACTTCAATATATTTAAGTCTTTTTGTTAAGATGGTTCCTCCAGTTTTTTTTTCTTGGAGGGGGCACTGTCATGTTTTGAAGCCACTTCCAAATACCTTTAACCGTTTATTTTTCCATTACAATGGGACAGCACGAGAAATCTTAATAGCCACCTTCGGGAACATTTAATATTTGTCAAACACTGCAAACACCCTTAACATGGCATCATTTCCACTTGGAAAAACTGCTGTGTCAGGCCACAGAATGGGATCTGGGTTCAGATTTGTTCAGCTAGCTAACACAATACTTAGGTAAATCTTTGCACCTGATTACTTTTAAATACTCGATGATTGGCTGAATTCTATGCCTGTATGGTTATTCAAATTAGCCAATTGTAAGATGTTAATGTATTTTAATATTCCAAGTGTAAATGTGGAAATCAATGTACTGAATTACAATTCAAAGTACCAGGAAATTGTCAGTTATCAGAAATGTAATAAACACATTCTCTATAGCCAAAAACAGCTATAAAAAAATAGCTGTAGAGTCAAAGGATTACTGGTTGTAGTCTGTTACAAGGGAATGCTATGAACAGACTTCTGAAAATGGTTCTCAATCTTCACCATTCATCAGAATCACCTGGAGGGTGTTTTAATATAGGTGACTGGGCTCCACGCCAGAGTTTGATTCAGGACTGGGGTGGGGCCTGATAACTTACATTACAAAGAATTTCCCAAATGATGCTGAGATTGTTATCTCAAGAGACATTTTGAGAATCACCACCTTAATTTCTTCATAAACTGTATAAAATTCAAAATCGAGCTCACACGCAACATTAAGCTCAAGTGTGGATTTCATGTTAGCTGGAATTACCGAGTAAGACCAAAGTGTCTTTAAACACAGACTTTAATGGTAACAATTCCTTTAAGCTCAATTAACTTTAGCTATTACAAGTCTTATGCACATGTCACTATTAGACAATATTTAGTGACTTGCACTGGGTTCCTCATAAAAGACAAATTCACTTAAAAATGTAATCAACAATCATTAACAGTTTTGTTATGCCAACACAAAACATGGCTAATTTGAGTTAACCCCCCCCCACCCAAATCACTAACACAGCATGATCAGTCCCTTTAAGTATACTTCAACTAAGCCATTTCAAAAAAATACCAAAAAAAACAAAACAAAAAAAAGTGAGTGTTTCACTACCCCTGAGACCACTAGTTAACTGTGGTTCATACTTTAAAATGTGAGTACACCCACACAAGAAAGCAAATTAATCAGCTTTAAAAAATCTGATTATCACATTGCAAACTTGCCCAGGAAAAACAAATTGAGTCACTTAAAATGTAAATTTACCATTAACAGGCCAACTGGACCTTAATTCTTAAGAGTTTACGCATTGAAAGATCTAGGAAATACACACACATAGTCAAAAATGATTCTAATACTCAGTTGGGTCCTATACATGGCACTAGTAAAGTCAAATTATTGGGTGGAGTGGGGGAAAGGGCAAATTCTTAGATTCTTTTGAAGATTTCATTGTACATGATTTCATGTCCAGTATCCATACATTCAAAAATGTTGGTTTTCCAGGTACTCTACTGTTCTTTTAAACCTGGAGAAGCCTCTATGGCTTATTCCCTTAGAAGCAACAAATGAAATGATGTATAAAGCATCAAGTCAAAGATACAGAGAACTGGACACATCCACTAATTGTTACGACAATCAAAGAAGTCATCTCTGTAAATACCTAAGGGTTGTCTAAGGCTATAAAGGTCAATTTGAAAGCCAATTAGGGATCCACTGTGTTCCATAAAAGTGTTTTACACTCATGTTTGGCTTTCAAGAAGTGATATGCCTACTAAAGCTGTTATTTTGAGAGTATATGCATCTCAGAAGTAATTTTGAAAACAGAGCCAAAGAGCAGTTTTTCTTACCTTGCGGAGCAGAATGTAACTAATATTTCTCATTCATAATTTGAATCCAAAAAAGTTATGCAGTATGACATCTACCCTGAAGGAGCCATTTTAAGCAAAAGACAAAATGAAAAAATTCACTCATTGGAAAAACTGCGTAGCTGGTTTTTTTCCCAATGAAATGATTACAGAATTAACAAAGCCAGAACATCTTCAGAAGGCATGCATTTCACTTCCAGTTTAGAGAAGAACCTCAAGTCAATAAATCATGTCCAAACTACATATTAAAATGTTTATAAAAAGTAAGTTTTAACATTTATTTCTAGCTTTCCACATCTGTGTGCAGACAAGGAATAAGATTGCACATAAGTGTAAGCAGTGCAAAAATGTGGAAGTGGAGGAGTCACAGATGTGCTAGAACTTTAAGAAATAAAGCAGTGGACAAAATCAAAATAATCAGGAAACATGTAAAACTATGGGATCAGAATTAGGAAAGGTGAAGAATGGTAATGCCCTTGTTACTACAGAAGTTAAATTAGTGGCACAGATAGCACTTGTCAAACAAAAAACAATCCAATAGCATTGACTTTTATTCATTCATGTTAAGTCACCTGAAATGATATCTGTTGCATTTAAATGCTCATTAATGTAAATGGCTGAACAAATCCATTTCAATGGATACTCAATATCCCACATAGATAAGTCACTTCAACACAGCCTCATGACAACTCCCACACCAAAACAGTACTTTATTTTGCAAATTTTGACCCATTATTACTCCCATGTTATGTTTTTTTTTTTTTTTTTCAGCTGTCAAGTGTACAAGGTGAAGAGAAATTTCAGTTAGACAGGGGCTGCACCTGGAAAATAAATTTCTTAAACTCCATAAACGCATTTCAAAACTGCTGGGTCCCAGAAGTCCATCTATGAACTCTAGGGCTGCCAGTATCATGTGCAGCACATTAAAGCTACACTATCCAAATAGCTTATTAATTCTGCATAAATCAGGTCAAGCAATGTGTCAACCTGTAACAGACTGTGCACTTTAACTGAACATGGCAAAATATCCACTCTTTCGAACTTTACATCATCATTTGATGTCAAACAATGAAGCAAATCCCAACAGTATATACAAAAAACAGCTTTGCATTTACAAAAGATTGTTTCCCATACTGATTAATCCAGGCAGCTAACTCATTGGTTTATGCAACTTTATTGAAGAAAAATAAATCAATTACTAGCAGAGCTATTAGTTGATCACTCATCCATTGACAACTTGCATCATTTATTCAGTGCTATATTAAACAGTGTATTGGAAGATAGATTAACTAATAGCTCCAAGCCTCCTAACAATTTAAATGAAAATTACAAAATGTTTGAGACCCTATTTTGGAATACAAAGGGTGTCTGACTTCCAATTTCCATTCTCTGTAGAACAAGAACAGGTCATTCCTTTATTGACATGCATAAAATACATCACATTTTCTGTTCTGCTGATGCTATAAATTCAATACCAATTCTCCAGCCACATCAGTTATGAGCATAAAGTATATCATGTAACCTCAAATCTCTAACAGTGGAAGGCTTAAACAAGAATGGATGCTGCTAGAATAATGCTGTATCCTTTGATGTGACAACTGAGCATCCATCTCCCTCCCCCTCAGATGATTTCTTCAGCATGTTAGAGCAGTGAGGAATGGTTTTAGTCTCATAACCAAGTTAGAGTGAAGACATTGGCCACATAATACACATGCTCCATTTTTTTTTTTTTTAAATTCTGAGTCTTGGGCAACTGTTCTCTTGTAACTACTTTACAGTTTCTAAAAGCAGTTATTGTCCAAAGCTGGAAGAACTTAAGTCTTCTCAGATGAGCATGTGAATGAATGGAGGGAGGTAAACAAAAAATAAAATTAAAAAAGATGAGGTCTGACAGGGGAGCAGCCGGATAAGAAAATCAAAAAAGGAACAGTAATTTAAAGTTTATTCCAGCTATAATGCAGGTTATTCTGACTTTAAGGTAGCATCACATGGCATACTTCTGAGTCCATTCCCGAGATATTCTGTTGTACCTGTAAATAAAGATGTTATTTTTAAAAGTTAAAATAAAGTGAAAGAATTCCTAATACTTTAAATGGAAAGGAAAGATTTCCATTTTATCATCTTCAGACCCATCATGAAGTCATCTCTAATGACTATGATTAGAATAAAAGCCAACAAGGGAGAAACAGCATTGGTACTCAAAGCAATGTGGGAAATGAGAGCCTGATGCTCTGAAAGCAGTATTTTAATACAACTAAGAAAGCAGCATTGAAAATTGGGAGGCTGACAAAAATCGAAAGACCCTTTCTCTCTACACCGAGATCATGCTCTAATTTTAACATGAAAAAATTTTTACAGTTCATTATGGGCAAATGTTAAAATAGTATACACATTGTATCTATCCACAGAAATTTCCACCAAAGCCAGAACCAGGCTTTTAGTAAAACAATTTTATTTGAATCCTGGAGTTTGAGAAATTACTTTGTCCTGGATATTATAAGAAGAAATGGCTTTGGGACTTAGGTAGAGGCAAAAGGGGAAGATGACACTGGGCAGAATGACAAAGGGCAGTAATTTCCAAAAGGGGTGTGTGTGTGAATGGTTGTGCTCATCAGAATCATGTGTTACTTTTAATAAGTGTGGTAACTGAGGCTAATAAGCACCACCGAGACCTGTTGAGTACAACAAGGGCATTTTTGTTTAAAAAGATCAACAGGTAATTCACACACAAGCAAGGTTATTACTCAGGAAGACTACTAACATTGATAAATACTATCAGCTTCCCACTGGATTATATTCATGCCACAGACTACTTACCCCAACAAAAAATAGTGATAACCTTAAGAAATGAATATATATATATATGCACAGGAAAATTTTTATATTTATAGTTTAAATATTAGTTAGCTTTATTTCAAACCAAGAACCAAAATGGTCCAAAAACTTTCCTAAACTTTTAAAAAAGTTATCTACCAATTCACTGTCATCTCCTAAGGATACTCTCTCAAAAAGCCAGCAGTTTAAAACAAAGGCTTTATTTAGCATACAGGGAGCCACAAAGTACAGTTGACGCTAATGCATGCTTGTCAGTAATGAACACTTAGTTTAGATGCTTAGGCTTAAAAGTGTTTTTCCCTTATATACTATCTCCTGGCAAAATTTGAACTAAACCACCACATTCTGTATAGGATTGGTACAAAGTCTTAAGCTAAAATTTAAATACCATGGTAGAAAGAAAAAGATACTACATAAATCCCCATTTCTTACTAGTGCTATATAACTGCTTTGCCATGCAATACTTTCAAGCAATAACGACTACCAGATATTTACTTTCACGTTAAACAGAGATCAAGCAGTTAAATGTACAGTTTTCAGAAGACTACCACATCTGTTACCTTTTGTTAGTTAATACAGTGCCTTAACGCATGCAGCACTCAAGTGCTGGCAGTACCATGAATAAGCGCACCATAGAGTGCAGATCCTCTTACCCTACAACATAGCGTATTTCTCTGTCCACTCTCTTGCTAACCTATTGTACCTAATTGAACAAGTACACTTAGCATTAATTATAACATATGAAAGTTATAATGGTTAAGTTGAACATAAATATTATTCAAATATTTGAGAAATTTAGACCAAATTTTTACAACAGTACTAACATTTTTTGGAAAAACATGCTTGGGGTAAAGAAAAATTTGCTTTGTTTCCCAAAATTTGAGAATAAAGTGATACTGTGACACGCTAGGAAAAAAAAAAAAAGAAAAAAACACTTTAGAGGGGAGCATTCACTGTCACGTAAGCTAAAGCCTAGTTTTTTTCAAACACCACATTTTAATAGCTTTCTGCATATTTTAACTGTTATCTTACTAAATATCAAGTCTTCTTGGCATTGTCACAAGCAAAGTATAAGCCTAACTCATTAAGTAAAACCACTTTTATAATAACTTTTAAACATACTTACTTATCTCTGTCTGTTTTATAGATCCGTGCAATCTCTGGCACTAGGGGGTCATCTGGGTTTGGATCACATAGCAGTGAACAAATGGATAAAAGAACTGCAAGAAAACAAAAACGTCTGTTACCCAGTTTCAGGAGTTTGGATAAATAAATCTTTCTAAACGGTGTATTACAAACCTCAATCCTCAAAAGACTTACTAGTTTGTAACTCTATCTCAATGAGACATAGTTTTACAAAGATTTTGTTTCACAGACGACAAGCTCCTGGTAAGCAAGAAGTGCTAAAAACAAGGTTTTGTGGCATCAGATTCACTGCTGACTAGCCATAAAAATAGTTTAAGATAGGCAACTGATGCCATATTTACATATATATATTTTAAATAAGCATAAATGATATGAGAACTTAGGGAGTTTCTTGGTACTCTGTGTGGGTGGGTGTGGGGGGACTTTAGCAAGAATATGCAGGTAACACTCATGCCACATTCACAGCTGTTAGGAATGACGAAAAATCCATTCTTTGCCATTGTCTTGGGAATTTCTGAGAAAAACCTTCAAGTACTCCACTAAATGTTTTGTCTCCTTGAACTTGTAATCAAGAAACTATATTCCCAAGAGTACTAGTTAAATACAACAATGCCAAAATCTCTTTAGTACTGAGTCACCAGCTCTAGTTCTTACCTTAACCAGTTCAACACACTGATGTATAAGATGTCAAGCATTAAGGAATATAGACTGCATTCACTTTGAGTGCCTGTTACATGCCAGTCACCATATATGGTGCTGTTATAAAATGTTAAGATAAAACGCTTGAAATGGTTCTGACCGATTTTCTTTTAAAAAAGCAATAGTATAAAAAAGACAACACTGTCACATAAATATTTACTGACTATAGCAAATTTAATTTCAAACCCAGATACAGCAGAACAAATATAAAATTATCTAACATAGGAGACTTGGCTATATAATAACTCACAGAAAAAAGGTAGCTTCAGTTGTGACTGACTGCTAGTTTAATAAGTTAGCCAAGTATGGCTGACAAAAAAGCAAGTTGTTTTAATGACAAAACAATACCAATTCAATCTGCCTTTACAGAAACAGTTTTCAGCGTTACAGTACATTCCCAGCAGTAGAAAAACTTGGAAGCTGATATTCAGGTATGGAACATGGTTTGAAAAGAAATTGGAAAACATCCAAGAGGGTGAAAAACAGGTTTAAAATTTTAAAAACACTTGAATTATGGCAGCATCTGCCCAAGTTGTTTCTTTTTCTCCCTTAAATGATTCTACTCAATAAAGTTTGGGAAATGCTGCTGCTACAGAGTAGTCCCTCCATGAGATTCAAGTGCAGTATTTAAGCAGATGAAACTTTTATACAATGCTTTGCCTTTTGAAAAAGCTGTTTTGTACTTACTGAACTCATAAAATCATAAAACAATTAATGGTGAAATACTATTAATTATTACAACTCCACCTAGGATATTCATGCAAAGACTGGACAGCCTGTTACATATAACGGATGCCTATTAAAAGTAGGAGACCAGAATTGATCTACAGATCTAAGATTATACAACTTTAGACTGTCATTAGGTAGAAACAACCTATCATGGTTACATAACACATGACTAAAGATTTGTGTAAAAATTAACCCAGGAAAGCAAAATCAGATTTTTCCTAGAGTGGAAACCTCAGGATTCAAAAGCTCTATTAAGTTTAGGTATATTATACCATTCTTGGTAAAAAGGCAACAAGTTAGTGTGAGACGTCCAAGTGGTTTGGGATTGAAAAATACAGAAGTCAATTAAAACAAATTTTGCTATTATAAGATGAGATGAAGGTAACTCATTAGGCAAATAATGCCTACCCACCCCAATTTGAATTTTAACAACTTCTTACAAAGTATCTTTAATCACCACTACCTAGAAGAACAAAAATGATAAAAATAACTTTACTGCTTCCCCAACTCTTACCAAAAAGCTGGCATAATAAAAATACTCAGATAAGTAGATCTAAGAATGAAATTTTATTAGAAAATGAGAACAATTTAAGACTATTTCACTAGAAGTATTTTTACCTTTAGAAATTGTTAAAGCAGGCGACCACTGTGATCTTAGAATATCGAGACAAATGCTGCCATTACTGTTAATATTTGGATGATAAATTCTTGTTGTAAATGCAACCTAAAACAAAAACTTTTAAGTATTTTATTCAAATAAAAACAAACATCTTTTAAAGCAAAACTTAAAATAATCAAGTCACAATGTTAAAAATGTCATCCATTAGCATACAAGTTCTAAATATCATAGAAACTGATTTTTACAATCTGACCATAACCCCCCTGCCTCCTCTCTTTAAAATAGAAACCTGAACTTTTGGATAAAAATTTCATTACTCATGTGATGTAAAGTTCTAAAGGTTACTTTGGCCCTACCATGTCATGAATCAAAGGGCAATTTAAATGTATTTAATACATTCATTTAAAACAGCCCTAACTTTTGGATGTAACCAAAATTTGTAGACCATCTCATTTAAAGTTTCATTAAGTTACACAGGTACGCATGAGTCTTCATTTACACCGTACATAAAACAGAAACTTGAATCACAAAAATGGAAACCATCACAAATTGCACCTGTAACATTACTAAAGACTGTTATAGTGACATGTTTATGACCTTTGTATATTACCTTCTCTAGTTACTCATACAGGTTGAATTTATGTTAATGACTGAAAGTCAAGGATAATATGCTTTTAATACTTAATAAACCAATCAACTCAGTGCACTAAGCAACTCCACGTTTTCATAAATTTATACTTATGTATACAAAACTATAAGCATAATAAGCATATGTTGTAACAATACATGCAAATATAAATTGAAGTTGGACATTTGATGCCTACAAGACGACAAATGCCCAAAATCAGAATCTGTGTAACAATAATACAGATGAGGGGGGAGCTTCCACATGGTCTGAATCTTGCAACATTAAGGAAAAGGCAAACCTTATCCCTATTTACAAAGTTCAAACTGAGGTCTAGCTCTTTAAACCAAAGTTTAAGAGTCAGCATCTATACATCAGTGCCTCAATTCAACATATATATTCAGCCTAGGCAGAACCCTATCGTCCAAGAATGCTCTATTCCTTTGAAATAAACCATAAATCTATACTAACAGATTGTGAGGGAAAATACTTGCCTTAGGTGGTTTGAAGGGGTAGTCTGTAGGAAAATGAATTGTCAAAAAGAATACACCGCCTTGATATGGACTGTCATTCTGTAAAAAGAAAAGTATGCTTAACTGAAATTTAAAATATTATTGCTAAATATTCTGTAACATTTGTTTCCAAGCATTTCTCTAATAATGAACCAAAATCACTTATTTACATTGTAATAAACATTCCATGAAAATTCAGTCTATAGTAATAGAAAAAAAAAACACTTAAAACTTACACAGGTCACCAAAATGATTTTTTAAAAAGTTATCAAGAAACACAAGTATTCTAGATCTCAATTCTCAGAGGAAAAAGTACACATAGCAATAAGCCTACATCATCACCTTTCAGAATAATATGTAAATAAAATTTTACAAGTGTAGATTATTTCTTCCAATAGTCAGATGTGTACAAATGGCTTTACAACAGTCCATTCTGCCTATTGGCAAACCAAATGTAAGCTATTCCAGGTAACTAACACACACCTTCAAGAGGAGAACAGAGAAAAGCCTAAGCTTCTCATTTTTAATCAATACCAGAAAATAGATACATTGTCCCTATTTTATGCATGAGAAAAATGAGGCTTAAAGAACTTAGTCTAGTGGACAAATGGTAAATGATAGAACCAAGATTCAAACACAATTCTTTTGAAGACCACTTAATGACCAGATACTGACCTACTCGGGAATTTAAAGCTAAAATGTGGAATGCCTAACTGCCTCTGAGTATGCAAAGAACCAATCCAAAGACATGTTTTAAAACTTACATGAACTAGGTTTTTACCAACACTCATTCCCCTCTATTAGAAAGGCTTTGTGTATACAGCTATATGAGCCTTTCACTATGCCCATTCTGGATGTCAAGCACATAAAAAATAGGCCTGACACTAACACAGCTCATCTAATTCCTACACTTCTGTAAAATAATTAAACATTAATTCAATTAATCTAACCCCTTGCTATATACTGTATATGTGTAAGGGATCCAAAGAGCATTTTTTTTTAATCTTTATGAGCTTAAACTCTGATAGACATGTAAAGTAACTGCAATGAAATATTATAGATATCATGAAATATGAACAAGGGACATGTGGAGCTCAAAGAAGAAAGTTCAATTTATTAATGAAGAATCAGGTTCAAAGAAATACACAACTAGTAAATGGAAGAGCTTTTGTTTGTTTGTTTGTCTGAGACGGAGTTTCACTCTGTCGCCCAGGTTTAAGTGCAGCGGCGCAATCTCGGCTCACTGAAACCTCTGCCTCCTGGGTTCAAGCAACTCTCCTACCTTAGTCTCCCTAGTAGCTGGGATTACAGGCATGCATCACCACACCCAGCTAATTTTTGTCTTTTTAGTAGAGACTGGGTTTCACCACGTTGACCAGGCTGGTCTTGTGGCCTCCTGATCTTGTGACCTCCTGATCTTGTGATCCACCTGTCTCGGCCTCCCAAAATGTGGAGATTATAGGCATGAGCCACCATGCCCAGCCAGAGCTTCTATTTAAATTAAGTCCTCCTCCAACTCCCAAGTTTTCCCTTCTTTTTTTGGTGGGGGTAGAGGGGGGGAATGGGAACGGGACGGGGGACAAACGAGACACAGATTATTGTCTTGCTGTGTGTGTGTTGCCCAAGCTTGAGTAAAATGGCACAACCTCAGCTCACTGCAAGCTCTGCCTCCCAGGTTCAAGAGACTCTCCTGCCTCAGCCACCTCAGTAGCTTGGATTACAGGTGCACCAACATGCCCAGCTAATTTTTTATTTTTAGTAGATGCGGTTTCACCATGTTGGCTGAACTCTAACTCCTGACCCCAGGTGATCTCCCTGCCTCAGTCTCCCAAAGTGCTGGGATTACAGGTAACAGCCACCGTGCCCAGCCCCTTTTCATATTTTCTGTAAAATATGGAACTAGAAAACCACTCCAGTCACTTAGAATGTGACCTGAGTTTATTAGATTAACATATCTTTGTTAAATACAGTTATATTAACTTTGAATAGATGCTTCAAACAGCATATACTTTCACCTGATCTGATACTATACAAGACAGTTTTTTTCTGTGTAAAATTAACAACTTAAGGGAATCTCAAAGTTTTGTTTTTGTTTTTTTTTTGAGACAGGGTCTTGCTCTGTCGCCCAGGCTGGAGTGCAGTGGCACAATCTTGGCTCACTGCAATCCTCTGCCTCCTGGGATCAGGTGATTCTCCCACCTCAGCCTCCTGAGTAGCTGGAACTACAGGAGTGAGCCAGCACAGTCAGCTAATATTTTTTTGTCTTCTTAGTAGAGATGGAGTTTTTTTTTTGTCTTTTTAGTTGAGAGGATGGTCTCAAACTGCTGAGCTCCACTGATCCACCCACCTTGGCCTCCCAAAGTTTTGGGATTACAGTTGTGAGCCACCACCCCTGGCCCCAAACACTGAAGTTTTAATAATCCAATTCCAGAAGTTCTTTGTAAGCTTTCATTTCAATTTTCATAAAATCAAATGCTGTCTACGATGCTTCTGAAATAAAGGCAATCTGCTGATGGGATTTAGGCAAAGCCAAATTTCATTTTGTTTGTTCAGAGAAAGAATTTTATAAAGAAGGCAAAATATTTCAATGTTACAATTTAACACTAAAGTTCTGCCATACCAAAGAGAAGAACTACAAGGTTCAGAGATAATGAAACTAGGCCATATAAAAAACTGAGACCCTACGATATTTAAATTCTATTATGGATCAGCAGCAAACTACACCAAAAGAAACAAAACCCCGAAGAATAAGGAACACTGTGATCAGCAAATCGACTAAAATCTTACAAGTCCGGAATTTATATTAGATTTCTTCAGAAACCTTCTACCTGTTTTGCTCTCATCAGGGCAAAGTTGCTTCCTTACAGTGCCTCAGCTCTTCCGTGGCAATAAAATGTTGGTATTCTTTTTTTCTTTTTTTTTCTAAAGTGGTGCTGTCGCCCAGGCTGGAGTGCAAGTGGCGTCATCTTGGTTCACTGCAACCTCCACCTCCCAGGTTCAAGTAAATTCTCGGGCCTCAGCCTCCAAAGAAGCTGGGATTACAGGCATGCACCACTACACCCAGCTAAAAATGTTGGTATTCTTATAGGTTGATTTTCCACTCTTAACTGCCGACCCATAACAATTTGAGTTGCAAAATACATCTCTGGTGCAGTTATCCACTCCAGGGCATATATTCAAATGCCTACTGGTATTTCTACTTGGGTATCTCATCTCATGTGTCCAAAACAAACTCCTTGTCTCCTCAATTCCTTTTTTCCTGTTTATTAATAGCAAGCCATAACTGAAAGCCACAAACCAGGATTTCATCATCGACTTCTTCCTCTCTCATCTCATCAGAGTCAAGATAGTTATCAAATAAGATCTTTAAAATTTCTTGACCTTGCCTCTCCTTTATGCCACTGTCACTACTATCTTAGTTCACGATGTCATCTTCAGCCTAGATTATGGCAAGAGCTTACTAATGATTATCCCTCCATCCTAATGATAAAGTGGTCTTTTAAAAATGTTTCTCCCCTGCTTGAAATCTACCATAGTTTTTAAGATATAACTCCAACTCCTAAGTGCATACGGTGCTTTATGATCTGGGTGCCCATCAATCTAGTTTCATCTTGTTTCTTCTATAGAACATGCTCTCTACTGCACATAAAATATTACATGGATAACACATCTTTTCCTCTCCCCTACTTGGAATATTCTTCCTTATAATATAGCCCTTCCTTTGTCTTATCTGCTCCCTACTCTTCTTTTATACCTCTTTAAGCACATAGTTACCATTACCCACCCATATATCTAACATTTACTTATATTTCTCTTTTATTAGACTACAAAGCTCCTGAATGAGTAAGGTAAAGATGGAAAAAGTCTTCAGGTATCAGTAACCTATGCAGGAAATGACATAATACACTTGAAATGAAAGTTGAAAAAATACCCCTTATGGATCAAATAAAATAGTACCTATAGGCCAATTATTTTAATTCAGATAGTTTTTCTGGTTGATTATGCTCAGGCTGCCAAAGGTTACATTTTTCAGCTACTTTCACATTTTTCACAGGTACTCTCTTCTACATCTCTGTCATAGATTAGGTGGAAGTTATTGTTCTCTAAATCTATCTTTTTCTGCCAATTCCATTTCCAATAAAAAAAAAAATTAAGCAAGTAAATATCAGAGGCAATAGGTAAGGAAGTCAATGTCTTCTAACTGCATCAATTCTTGTTGGAAACTAACCATAACATAGTAATGTCTAATTGCATCAATTCTTGTTGGAAACTAACCGTAACACAGTACCCCCGGCTCCCACCCCAAAAACACCACACACACACAAAACTAGCAATGCTGTCATTTCTTTCAAAGGTTTAGTTTTTAGTCAATAGTTGTGCTTCCGAAGTAGTTTACCTTCAGAAAGAATAAGCCAATACATTTGATTATTAAAACCAAGCAATTTTGCTACATAATTAAAAGATCTAAAGGATTTCCCAACAATTCACTAAAACCAAAGTTACTCTATTGAAACTTAAAATTAGATGGTATATTCACTAGAAAGTCAGGAATCTTCAGTTCTGTGGCACTGGCACCACTTTAAGAGACCTAAGTAGTAGTCCAAAGCAAAAGTGACATTGTTAACTGTCTATCTAGTTCTCCCACTAAATCTGTAATTTACGGGTTGCTTTGGGTCTCAACTGCTTGCTAGACAGAGTAACCACACTCACAAAATAAGCTACTATTTATCTTATACAGTGATGCTTTGTCACAAAGAAGGATTCAGAAGCCAAAAGAACAACATGAGTTGTTTCATTGGTACACTCCACAGTAAGCATATAGTTAACTATTTAAAGCTGGCATCTAAATTATGTGCTTACTTATGTACAAGACAATACCCATACTTTGGGTGGAATTTTATAACCTTTGACTCCGTCTTGAAATTACCCAGCCAACAGTGAGAACTAACCTTTTTAGGTTAGTATTTCAGCGAGTACTGCTACCAAAGTAAAACCCAGTAGTTGCGGTTGATCACGTTAATATTTAAACAGTTCTGAAAATCACATGCTTCTGTTTGTAAAAGCAGAAAGCTGCTAGTCATTATATTAAAAGAATTCAGCAAGGAACAGCCATCATCTGATATATTTAAAAAATGAAAAAAGGTAAATGTTTTCTGAAAATAAAAGCAAATTAAACTGCTAAAAAAAATCTGTCAGAATAAGCAACATCATTCTCTAAAAAAATTACTACCATACACTCATTTTTTGTTTCCTTTTGATTGTCTATAGGTATGCTCCTTGCCTTTTGGGAAAAACTAGTGTGTTGTTCAAAACAACAAAGTCTAAACTGTCAAGTAGAAAAACCAACTAGTTTTAAGGAGTTGGTTTTCCTTCTGCACACCATCCAATTACAAGTCTTAATTACCAACGCTTCTGTGCTTTCTTAGTATTGACAGTTTTTACAATCAAACTATCAACTACTCCCTGAATCAAAGATAAGCTTTATTTTAAGGCATTTTATTGAATTCTTTGAAAATTGGTAATCCAAAATGGGAAAATTCTAGAGGTTGCAAAAGCAACTGTTATACAAAACACTAGGTAGATAACATGGAATTGACCTAGTAGGCATTGTGGTAAACACATATCCCATCTAAAAAAGGGAGGCAGCTGTCATTCCATCCCAAGTCATTACTGCTTATGGAATGTGGGCCTACTCAGAAGGCTTTTATTTGAAGACTGCCAACTTTCAAAAACACTGCGTGGGCCAAACTGGGCAAGTCGACATTTAACTGCGCGTATTAAAATTACACAATTTTGCTACCAAATTAGATAAAAGTACTTTTAAAACAAAATAACATTTATAACAGTAAAAGTCGTCCTGTAATAACGAAACATACAATCCCAGCTTTGTAGTTTATTAAAACGATCCAGGACATTTAAGTATTAAACTTAGTATTTGTACCCCTGCCATGTCTTACTTTTAGTTTCTCTCCCTTTAGGGCACTAACATTTCAATTACTCTAAATTAATCCTCCCTATGATTTCCCATTAATTTCTCCTACTCAGCACTTCATTCACCAGTCACTTATTTTCCATCTTATCACACTTCGGCACTTGTTTAGGTATCTGTCTCCTCTAGTAGAGTGTAAGTTCCCTATAAGATTGACAGGGATGTCTGTTATGTTCATTTGTATCCTTATTACCTGGCACACAGTATGTACTCACATTTGAGACAGAAAAATGACTAAAGTTAGAATTACTAAATAATGTTGATTCAACCCATCTACTAACTCTAAGAGCATTTATTCCTTTAGAATTATAAATATTACTGACCACTGTCTCATCTAGTACATTATTGCTCTTTATGTTACTTATAAAACCACCAAAAAGGGAAGAAAATTTTCAGTAAGATACACAAGTAACTTAGAAAACAAATCTTTAAGCTCCTTACCAAGTTAAAAAAAAAAAAAAAAAAGTTAAGTATTTGTGTAAGATACAGTCTTACCCCAGGATGTTTTAGTGCGCTCTAATTCTCTGAAATTCTTAGATGGTATCCATAATTCTGAATATTCAATTATCCAGCATATAGTTGCTTATCTACCCAGGATAGAAAGGAATTTTGCTATATTCAAAATATCACTTTCTGCCTAAATATATTCAAATTTTGCATAAAGTGAAATTCTATAAAGAATCAAATATCAAAATACAATTAAGCTACATTATTGGCAGCTACAGTACTAGACTCTCTGAGTAACACAACTCATGGCAGGATCAGAGCCAGTAACTTTGTCTCTATAAATAACAGGAAGTTCCACGACAATGCTTTACACAGTGCTATGAAGAAAAACTGAACTGAGATATAGAGATGTTTGGTAGGTCATAGAGATGGCTATACTCTAGAATGTGAACACAGGGATAGACACAAAGTACACGTAACCAATGACTAACTCATTATGTTGTTTCTTTCAAATGCAGTACAACTATGGAATATCCAAAATAGAATTAACTACATGATAAACCTACAGACCAAGTTAAAAATTACAACCAAATCAATGCTGGATTTTCACTTAAAACTAAATTTATAAATTATTAATACTTACAGGTCCCATAATTGTGGCTTGCCAATGAAACACTAGAAAAAGAAAAAAAATCTCTGATTATCTAAAAATGCACAAGCTTAAAAAAATTAGGCATAAAAATCAACTTGAAAGTTACTTACTATCATCCCCAACCGGACCTGCAGAACATTGTGCTGGAGGGTCACGGGCCAAATCACTAAGTTCCTATACCAAGACAGAAAATGGGTGAGTCACACAAGCTTAATTTAAGAAAACATAAGCGAGTCCATTGCTTTCACCCACTTTCACCCTATTTTTAAAGGCACACTCCATCACAATTCACATAAATAATATAGTTCATTAGGAGAGAGAAAACATGCCTGAACATATGCTGAGACAATCATCTTTAAAGCTAGAGTTCATAAAAATATGTATGCACACACATTGATATGAAATTTTTTATTTGCATAAACAAAAGCCGACCTCTTACAAACCAAAATAGCTATAATTAGGTATTATCACAGTTTAAGAGCTTAGACCAGGGAGAGCTCAACATTCATGTTATTTGTTGAACTTCCAAGACCACTTTCAGAGGCCCTCAACTGTCTTAAATTCTTTGTTCTAATGAGAACACTTGGACACAGGAAGGGGGAGGGATAGCATTAGGAGATATACCTAAAGTAAATGACGAGTTAATGGGTGCAGCACACCAACATGGCACATGTATATACATGTAACAAACCTTCACATTGTGCACATGTACCCTAGAACTTAAAGTATAATTAAAAAAAAAAAAAAATTCTTTGTTCTTCCTGAACCATCCTTCCTCCCCAATCCACTAACTCTATTTTCCACGTGAAAACCAAAAACACTCTCATGGGGCTAAGTACCCTTTTTGTTTTCTAATCTCCTTATTCTCTCAACTCTTTTTTTTTTTTTTTTTTTTTTAACTCAACATCCTTTTATTTTTTTTTGAGAGGGAGTCTCGCTCTGTCACTCAGGCTCAAGTGCAGTGGCACAATCTCAGCTCACTGCAAGCTCTGCCTCCTGGGTTCACGCCATTCTCCTGCCTCAGCCTCTGGAGTAGCTAGGACTACAGGCGCCCGCCACCACGCCTGGCTAATTTTTTTTGTAGTTTTAGTAGAGACGGGGTTTCACCATGTTAGCCAGGATGGTCTCGATCTCCTGACCTCGTGATCCGCCCGCCTCGGCCTCCCAAAGTGCTGGGATTACAGGGATGAGCCACCACGCCCCGCTCAACATCAATTTTTAACTATTGAAATTCTTTTTTTTTTTTTCAGATGGAGTCTTGCTCTCACCCAGGCTGGAGTGCAGTGGCGCCATCTCGGCTCACTGCAAGCTCCGCCTCCCAAGTTCATGCCATTCTCCTGCCTCAGTTTTCCAAGTAGCTGGGACTACAGGCACCCGCCACCACACTCAGCTAATTTTTTATTTCACCGTCTTAGCCAGGATGGTCTCAATCTCCTGACCTCGTGATAGAAATTCTGACCCTGAGAGCATACTTCTGTAAGTAGAAAGATGTTTGCTCTTAACATACAGTCTGCACAATTCCACATGAACGATTTATTTCCAACAAGTGTAGTTCACCATTCCATGACTTGTGCATAACAATATGAATTATCTACTATGAAAATATAGTTTATTAGAATATTTTTAAGATGGTACAGCTCCATCTTACCAATGATATAGCCAATGTCTAATAATCAAAAGTCAAAAAAAGACAATAAATAGAACCAATGTTAATACACTACTGCCTTCAACATTTTCAAACTAACAGTTTCTCTTTAGTCTATGGCATAAGTCAGTAAGGGCTACCCCTTAAGTCTAGGGACTACTATATCTTTCTCATATAAACATGGAAATAACAATGAAGGGTAAGGTTTAGGATTCCATCTGAACAGCAGAAAACCACTAGGTACATGCCTCATGCCTGTAATCCTAATACCTTGGGAGGCAAAGACAGGGATCGCTTGAGCCCAGGAATTTGACACAACAAAGAGAGAACAACAAAGAGAGACCCCCCTCTCTTCAAAAACGTTAGCTAAGCATGGTGATGCATGTCTGGGGTCCTAGCTACTCAGAAGACTGAGGTGGGAGGATCACTTGAGCCCAAGAGATCAAAGCTGCAGTGAGCTGTGATCATGTCACTGCACTCCAGTCTAGGCAACAGAGCTGTCTGAGACAAAAACACAAAACCCTGTCCCAGAAACAAAATACAAGACCAAAAAAGCAAGGCTGGGCGCAGTGCACTTTGGGAGGCTGAGGAGGGCAGATCACCTAAGGTCAGGGGTTCAAGACCAGTGTGGCTAACATTGTAAAATCCCATCTCTACTAACACCACAAAACTTAGCCAGGCATAGGGGCGCACGCCAGTAATCCCAGCTACTCGGGAGGCTGACGCAGGAGAATCACTTGAATCTGGGAGGTAGAGGCTGCACATCGCACCACTGCACTACTCCAGCCTGGGGGAAAGAGTGAGACTTTGTCTCAAAAACAACAACAACAAAAAAAACCCCAGAAAAGCTGAATGTACTCATAAACAAAAGACCAAGTACTAGAAAGCAGAAGAAAAGATGCCTAAATAAAAAAGATATGATAGAGAAGCAGACGTGAGAGGATAGCTTGAGCGCAGGAGTTCGAGACCAGCTTGGGTATAACATAGGGAGACCCCGTTCTCCATAAAAAGAAAAAAAAGGCCGGGCGTGGTGGCTCAAGCCTGTAATCCCAGCACTTTGGGAGGCCGAGACGGGTGGATCACGAGGTCAGGAGATCGAGACCATCCTGGCTAACACGGTGAAACCCCGTCTCTACTAAAAAATACAAAAAACTAGCCGGGCGAGGTGGCGGGCGCCTGTAGTCCCAGCTACTCGGGAGGCTGAGGCAGGAGAATGGCGTGAACCCGGGAGGCGGAGCTTGCAGTGAGCCGAGATCCGGTCACTGCACTCCAGCCCGGGCGACAGAGCAAGACTCCGTCTCAAAAAAAAAAAAAAGAAAAAAAAATTACAATACAGAACAATCTGGCCACTATCAACTGTCTACCACAATATCAAGGCATCCATAACTGCAGGAATTTAAAAATGGAAACAGATTTCCAAAGTGGGTACACGCACTTTCTTTCCTCAACTGTGATCTTTTGCCTCCCTGTGCAAAGTCAAGGACACAAAATGCAGAGTTTTCAGTATAAGCTCTCTCAGAAGGGTGCAGGGAATGGGAAGAAGAGCTAAACACCTTAATTTAACAAGGCATAGTGGCATGTGCCTGTAGTCCCAGCTACTCAGAAGGCTGAGGCAGGATTAAGCCCAGGTGTTTCAGGCTTGTGTGTGTTAAATGATCATGCTGGTGGACAGCCACTGCACTCTAGCTTGGACAATGTTTAATGCCTATTTTATACCAGTTTCAGATGATTTACTTTCATTCACTACATGGAATTTAAACACTTTGAAAAATTTATGTTAGGGTCCCACTGTGGCACTGACTTGCTTGGGGGAAATAAATGAGTCTTCTAAATTTTGTTCATTTTGTTAAATCTATTGGAAACCTTTAAACTAGGCTCTCAACAAACTGAGGGGTCAGAACAAAAAACAGCTCAGCTTTCGAGGCTTTTAGAAAATTAGAATCACTGAATACATAGCTTGAAAATCAGATAATGCCGACATCTTTCCCTACAAAACTGAGGAACTGAACAAATCAATCAATGTGTGCTCCAACAGCACACAAGCCTGTATCTGTGCTTTAAATATTTCAATTTGTGGGAAAGCTCTTTCAATGGAGCTATTTTTATTGGGTAAGTTTGTATTCTGTACCAGAATGGAATAAAATTGAAATTTTGAGAAACACTGAAAAAGAAAAGACACTACATAAAATGTTTTTGTCTTGTTAAAAAAGAATTGAGACTTAGTCCCATTTAACAGGATTTGCTCTAAGCTTTTAAGACACCTTAGTTCCCATAGGGTATTTTGCCATTTAAAAAATTATAGTATTGTAGACTAGAGTCAATGGGGGTTATTAATTTAAACCTTATTAACCTCAAAAGTGCTACTTTTGACAAGATTAAAATAAGACTATTAGAGATATCAGCAAAACAGCATTGAGAGACAGGGCTAGGAAACTAGAGTACACAAGTATGGACTAAGAATAATTATACTACCTTTAAAAATGTTAAGATGATCAACACAAAGTTTTAACTGCTCTAATGTGTCTTTTTTAAAAATTAAGTTTTGATTAAAACTGTTTAGTAAGTCCACCAATCCTCTCCCCCTTTAAAAAAGAGATAGGAATCTATGTTGCCCAGGCTGGAATACAGTGGCTATTCCCAGGCGCAATCACAATCATAAGGCACTACAGCCCAGAACTCCTGGGCTCAAGGGATCCTCCTGCCTCAGCCTCTTAAGTAGCTGGAGTTGCAGGTACGCATCACTACGTACAGCAATTTGTTGAACAATAAATGCACATTTTTTTTTAACTGTAAAATGCAACACTGAATTTTGCTGATTGATTCCATGTAGGAAGAAGAGGTAATGCTAAGATTTTTGGCCTGAGCAAAGCATGAGGTAGGCAGTAAGTAAAATGGTCAACTTACAGGTGAAGTCTGTGGGCAGATGTAGAGATAAAGCAAGTAAAGTAAGATAATGTAAGTAAAGACTCAATTAGAAAAGTATATATACAAGTTAAGAACAGGCTGAGAACAAACACAAATTATCATTAATAAACAGATGATGTTTATGGCCATTAAACTTGGTGAGAGCACTCCAATAACAGAAGGTCCTAGGAGTGAACACTGGACTAATTTAATGCTAAGAAAGGGAATCTTGGCCAGTAACCTGAAAAGTTAAAAGAAATAATGAGTGTGAAGAAAGGCCTTGTCACAATAAACAACATGGCACAAAAAACAACTTGTCACAAAAAACAACCAAAATAGAGTAGACAAGGAGAACTGTCCTGATATACTGTGCCAATTCACTTTTGAAACTCATCACAACTGCTTACAAGGTTGCCAGAGATCCCAAGATTCACAATTTTAAGATAAGGGTATATCACACACCCTTTATATGCTTGCCTATATAGATATACCCTCACATCTTCCACATATTCAGGAAAGGAAGAAAATTCATTCCACTGATCAGTGGGAATTACAAAAATTTGTATCGTAGTGCAACAATCTGTAAAAAATAAAAAAATAATAAAAAAAAACCCTACGTGGCTTT